GATGAGAGACCTCCAAGGAATGCCAGGGTCATGACGCAGGGGCAGGCAACGGCAAACCGCCTCTGTTCATCTCTTGCCTCGAAGGGTTGGGTGAGTTAGCTATCGCTGGACAGCAAAACCTAGCACAAAACGGGAGGTTCAGAAAAACTTGCCCCGCGAAAAATCCACACAGCATCATGTATTTGGGCCGGCCTGATGTAGAGGTTAGTGTTGGGCTAGGATCTGAGAGACCCAGGTCCGAATCTCCCCCCCCCCCCGCCATGGAAGCTTGCTGGGGGACCTTGGGCCAGTCATAACGCTCTCAGCCTAACCTACCTCATGGGGTTGTTGGGTGGATAAAGTGGAGCAGAGGGGGCTGAAAAAATGAAGTCAATAAAGAGTTTAAAAAATGGTCACAGCCAACGCTCCCTCTAAGCTGTGGAGCAAAAATTCTACTTTTTGAGTGACCGGCATTACAGTTGTGAGCGAGCAATTTGGCTACTGCATCAATGAGTTTTCTCTGGAGCCCTCCTCCCTGAGCGAAGACAAAGACGTGTGAGCCGGAGGCTAAAGAACCATGAGCTAGCTCACACTCACTCAGCTTAGAGGGAACACTGGGCCAGCCGCTTGCAAAATCAAACTGCCTAACCTGTTTTTGCACACCAGAGCCGAGGCGCCAGTGAAACACACCGTTGCAAGGAGCCAAACGATACTGTCTGGATATCGCTCCAGGCAACCGGATTATACAAGTTAACTTGTTTACCGAGTCTCTGCATGCGGCCGAGCATATTTCCTCCAGCGGCGGGACCTGCCTTGGAGCTGACCCACTTTCCCCTTGTTTGCCTGCCTCTTTCCCGAGCGGTGAGAGACAAAGAAGGGAATTTTGGGCAGGTGCAGTTTCCTCCTGCTGGGCTGAAACACTGCTGCCGGGATGGCTTTAAATTGCAGCAGAGAGAAAGGGAGGAAGCGGCGTTCTCTGGTTGTGCACCTGGTCCCCCTTTCTGACCGCTTGTTTACACTTGAGAGGTGATGTGACACAGCCGTCTCCAAGTACTTGAAGGGCTGTCCTATAGAGGATGGTGCAGAGTTTTTTCTGTCGCCCCAGAAGGTCAGACCAGAACCAGCGGGTTGAAATTAAATCAGAAGGGTTTTCGGCTAAACATGAGGAAGAACTTCCTGACAGCTAGAGCCGTTCCTCAGTGGAACAGGCTTCCTCAGGAGGTGGTGGGCTCTCCTTCTTGGGAGGTTTTTAAGCAGAGGCTCGACTGCCACCGGACAGCAATGTGGATTCTGTGAACTGTAGGCCGATCAGGAAAGGGAGGGCAGGGAGGTTTGTATTAGGACTTAGTTCTCGTGGCCCTTTCTTACACCCCTAGGGAAATGCTGATCGCATTTCCCTGCAGGCTGTGGAAGGTCAGTAGTTCAGCAGTTCAAGACCTGGGTGCCGCATGATGGAGTGAGCGCCCATCTCTAGTTCCAGCTCCTGCCAACCTAGCAGTTCGAAAGCAAGACATTGCAAGTAGATAAATAGGTACCACTTCGGTGGGAAGGTAACAGCGTTCCGTGCGCCTTGGTGTTTAGTCATGCCGGCCACATGACCGTGGAAACATCTTCAGACAGCGCTGGCTCTTCGGCTTGGAAATGGAGATGAGCACCGCAACCCTAGAGTCGGATTCGACTGGCTTTCGAGCAAGGGAACCTTTACCTTTACTTTACTTTGGGGTCGGGAAGCAATTTTCCTCCAGGCCAGTTTGGCAGGAGATCCTGGAGGGTTTTTTTGTCATCTTCTGAGTGTGGAACAGGGGTCACTGGAGGTGTGTGTGGGGGGTCTTTGTGAATTCCCTGCCTTGTGCAGGGGGTTGGACTAGACGACCCTGGGGGTTCCTTCCAACTCTATGATTCTTGTATGGCCAGGCCCTTTCAGAGCCAGGAAGAATTTCCCTCCAGGCCACATTGGCCCAAGGGTCCTGGAGGTTTTTTGTCTTCCTCTGGGCACAGAGCAGTGTCACTGGGGGGGGGGGGCAGGATTGTTTGCCTGCCTCTTTCCCGAGCAGTGAGAGACAAAGAAGGGAATTTCGGGCAGGTGCAGTTTCCTCCTGCTGGGCTGAAACACTGCTGGCGGGATGGCTTTAAATTGCAGCAGAGAGAAACGGAGGAAGCGGCATTCTCTTGTGCATCTGGTCCCCCTTTCTGACCGCTTGTTTACACTTGAGAGGTGACGTGTCACAGCCATCTCCAAGTACTTGAAGGGCTGTCCTATAGAGGATGGTGCAGAGTTTTTTCTGTCGCCCCAGAACCAACGGGTTGAAATTAAATCAGAAGCAGTGTTCCCTCTAAGCTGAGTTAGTGTGAGCTAGCTCACAGTTTTTGAGCCTCTGGCTCACACATTTTTGTCTTGGCTCATGAAGGAGGGCTCCAGAGCAAACTAGTTTATCCAGCAGCCAAATCACTTGCTCACAGCCTTAATGCCAGTAGATCACAAAGTAGAATTTTTGCTCACAAGACCCTGCAGCTTAGAGGGAACATTGAAGGGTTTTTGGCTAAACATTAGGAAGAACTTCCTGACAGCTAGAGCCATTCCTCAGTGGAACAGGCTTCCTCGGGAGGTGGTGGGCTCTCCTTCTCGGGAGGTTTTCAAGCAGAGGCTAGATGGCCCCATCTGACAGCAATGTGGATTCTGTGAACTGTAGGCAGATCACGAGAGGGAGGGCAGGGAGGTTTGCATCAGGGCTTAGTTCTCGTGGCCCTTTCTTACATGCCCAGGGAAATGCTGATTGTCAGTTTGGGGTCAGGAAGCAATTTCCCATCCAGGCCAGTTTGGCAGGAGATCCTGGAGGTTTTTTTTGTCATCTTCTGGGTGTGGAACAGGGGTCACTGGGGGCGTGGGGGGGAGGGTCTTTGTGAATTCCCTGCCTTGTGCAGGGGGTTGGACTAGATGACCCTGAAGGTCCCTTCCAGCTCTATGATTCTTGTATGGCCAGGCCATTTCAGGGCCAGGAAGAATTACCTTCCAGGCCACATTGGCCGAAGGGTCCTGGAGGGTTTTTTTGTCTTCCTCTGGGCACAGAGCAATGTCACTGGGGGGAGGGGGAGGTAGCTGTGAATTTCTGGCCTTGTGCAGGGGGTTAGACTAGATGAGCCCTGAAGTCCCTTCCAGCTCTGTGTTTCTGTGTTTCCAGGGGTCTTTTCATAGAAAAAGAGGTGCAGGAGCTCATTAGCATAACTTATTTGCATTCGCAACACCCCCTGACATCACCGGAAGTCTGTCAGAGGACACCTTTTACCCAAATCAGCCCCAGTTCATAATCTGAGGTACAACCAGATCCTGGCCAACATTTGAAGGCATAGGCCTCCTATGCTGATATGCTGCCTTGCTACAACCATTCCCCAAGAAATGACCAAGGAAATAGGGGGAAACTTTGAATAACTCATTTGTTACTGACCACTTCCTATCTTTACCTAATGAAAAATCACCAGCTAAAGATCCTAGAAAGCTTTTGCCACCTCTTATGAATACATGCTATTTTTCACCAGGCCTCAGTAGCAGTTTGTTTGTTTGCTTCCTAGCAAACCCTATCAATGTATGAATTGGGATCCTGCTACCTTAGCAGGAAGAAAACTAATTCAGCAACTTTTATGCACATTTGGATAAGCCTGTGAACAATCACAGAGTGCAAATTCAGTATTCACCTTGCAGTATAGTACATTTCTACTCAGATAGTAGTGTCATTTTGCAAATATTTAGATAGAAGAGAGAGAGAGAGAGAGAGAGAGAGAGAGAGAGAGAGAGAGAGAGAGAGAGAGAGAGAGAGAGATGGATAACCCTGTTGTTACAAAAGGATGAGTTTATAAGCAAGGATTATCCATCCCCTTCTTCTGCAGGATAAGGATTCGAATATTACTAAGCCCTAGGCCCCTTATCTTTTACTGATTCAGCATAAAATACAAATTAAAAAAAAGTTTTATAATTAGGGTGGGCTTAAAAGGGAAGAAGGAGATCCCCCCCACCTTTCTCTTTCAATTAACATGGTTAGGCTTAAGGCTATGGCCAATAAAGAAGAAGAGATTGGATTTATACCCTGCCCTTCACTTGACGTCTCAGAGCGGCTTACAATCTCCTTTCCCTTCCCCTCCCCACAAGAGACACCCCGTGATGAAGGTGGGGCTGAGAGAGCTCTTTCGAGGATTGCTCGGGGGAGAACAGCTCTGAGAGAACTTGTGACTGACCCAAGGTCACACCAGCAGCTGCATACGGAGGCATAGGGAATCAAACCCGGTTCTCCCAGATTAGAGTCCACACTCTTAACCACTACACCATACACAGCTTGGCGCAGTGATTAGAGCATTGCATTAGGATCTGGGAGACTCAGGTTCGAATCTCCGCTTGCTGGGGGACCTTGGGCCAGTCACAGACTCTGCACCTAGCCAACCCCACAGGATTGCTGTGAGGATAAAATGGATAAAATGGAGGAGAGGAGAAAGAGGAAAGCCACCGTGGGTTTCCACTGGGGAGACAGACAGGTGGGGGATAAATGAAGTGAATAACGAACAAACAACAAAGCTGTACCATTGAGGAAGAAACTACATTCTCTTGTCCAGAGGAGCTAGCCGTGTTACTCTGTTGCTGCAAAATAGTAAAAAGTCCAGTCGCCCCTTTAAGAAGACTAACAAACTTTGTTGTAGCATAAGCTTTCGAGGAACACAGCTCTCTTCATCAGATGCATGGAGCCTGAGCGGTGGGTGTTGCCTTCTGACACACTTCCGGGGATGTCAGGGGGTGTGGCCTATGCAAATGAGTTATGCTAATGAGTTATGCTAA